AAAGATTTTCGTTCCCTTGCCTCTATAAAATTTTAAAAGCATTGGACTTGCCTCGAAAGTTTTATTTTCGCTTGGTGTCAGTGAAAGTTCAGCAGTTTTGAAAAAAAATTTGGAACTTTATACAGGGGTAAAGGTACAGCAAAAATAGCGTCTATATTTACACCATTCCTTTACTTTCAGACCATTCACAGAATTGTTGCACGTTAGCTGTTCAATTCTCTAGAAATTTAGAGAAAATTGACGAAAACAAAATATTCTTTGAGAAGCTGCATCTAATTAACAAAGAAGTAAGCGGATCACAACCCGTGGTTCTTGTTCACGTCAGAAAACACGGAAATTCCACTAAATTATAATTGCGTGATTTGGCATATCTTATCATTTTTAAAAATCCATCAAATCAATTAATATTGAAGGTTCCAGCACTAGAATCACAATTTGCTAGTCTCATTAAAATTATTTCGCCACTACGAGGGCTTTTCAGCTCTCATTTGAATTTTTGGTGGAAAACATGAGAGAGATTTTCTTGTACATCCTCTTGAGAAAATAATGCGTATAATTTGTTTTCGCCGAAGAGGAAATAACTGCAAAACTTCTGAAAAACATCGTATCCTCGTCGGATGACCGGAAGCAAATATTTTCATTTTAGTGCAATTTCGATTTTTTTGATTGCGTTCAACTTATAACTCACGTTCAAGTTTCTTGACCAAATTTGATTTTCTCCGAAGAATTTTTGCTGGAGAATGTAATTTTTCAAACCTCACATTTGCTTCGAAAAATTATTCTGTATACCTTTTTTTTAGCAGTATATGTAGTAATATTTCAATTTAGTATCAAGATATTCTATATGAAACCGTTAAATACATGAGAATCTCGCGGGAAAAAAGCAAAATTTTTTATAATGTGATTGAAATTTGTCTTGTGAATGTGCCAAGGTCTGTGGGGGCGGCGGAAAATACCCCCTGATCACCGCCATGAAAGAAGAGCTGAACCGAGAGAAGCGCTCGCCGCCTTACCCCGACATTGACTGGGCCAAGACGAGCAAGGCGGCGGAAATCGCGTCGCCCACGACACTGCCGCCAGCGACCAAAATCGACGTCAAGGAACTGCTACGAAATGCCGGGCTGGATAAAGTCAAGAAACGGACCGAGATCAAACGAACGAACCCCGACGTCCCCGAAATCGAAGACAAAAACAGTACGTCTCCAAATAAGTTAATCTCACACTAGAAAGTCTCGAAGCTACTCATAGTATATAAAATTTCTTACAAAAGTCACTTATACTGAGCAGCATGCATGCCTTGAAGCATTCATTATAGAAAATAGATTGACAGCGACATCTATCAGAGGAAAGAATAGTTTAGTCATGTGCTGACCAACATATGGCCTACAGAGGCTCTTCATCTATCCTGCGGTCCCTTCCCTATAATTTCGAATGTGTCTGTCAGCTGTGCTTCTTTTTATTTAAAAGTGGTTTCTAGAAAATCTCCAAATGTGCAGGAATTTGAAGCACTGGAAGAATAATGTGGCTTGTAAGCAATATGAGCACTGAGTCAACATGAGGACATTGCATGATGAAAGTGCCAATAAATTTCACAAAAATGGACTTTTATTCAGCTTGATTGCAAGAAACAGATATTTCCAACCCTAAGATTTATGCAAGAAAACTTCTTTGTAATTTCTTCCATCATTTTTCCGTCCATTCAAATAATTAAAAAAGTACCTATTGCATAGACTAAAGGGACTTCCTTCTATCTTTGTGACTTGAATGCTATTTTTATAGATGCCAACATTTCAATGTACAGTACAGTGATACACTATTCAATGCTCCAAATATTCTTATTGAGTTGAAAATATATTTGCTAAATCTAATTCAAATGGCAAGCATTTTTTCATGGAATTCTGAAAAAATACTTCTTCCATAAAACATCAATTAAAAATTATATAATGTAAGTCTATGGGAAAAAAGACTCAACTTGTGGACAATTCAACTTAGGGACACACTTGATGCACCAATTGAGTCCGCATCTGTGTGTCTCACTGTATATGTACTAAAAACCTCATCCTGAAAGTCCAGGTGAAAATGCTCTCATGATTGCAATTTTTTTTTCTTTTTCTTGGAATCCCAGGCCAGGCACCGAAAGTGTTTTGCTACTTCACCAACTGGTCCACCAGGCGTCCCGGGAAAGGCAAGTTCGAACCAGAGCAAATCGACCCCTTCATGTGCACGCACATCGTGTACGCATTCGCCACGCTCGAAGACTACGTTCTCGCCCCAGGGGAAGACTCGGACGTCGGAGAAGAATTCCAACCCGGGTTGTACTCCAGAATACAAGGCTTGAGGGAGGATAATCCGAACCTGAAGGTGAAAACAAATTCGAAACCGAGAACGTATCGTAAAGAAAAGTGGGGAAGGGGGTTCCTGCAATAATCCCGCAGACTAGATTTGCAATTCAACCAGCGCACATTACCCGATTTTTCCTCCTCCTGGAGCTTTTTTTTTATTTTATATTTTTTATGCGCAAACGCGAGAAACTCACGAGTATTACAGCCTTCCAGTACTTAATTTCCGAATATTGTTTTTCTTTCAGAAGCAAATGAGATGCATGAATATTTAAGAATTTCTTTCTGTTATATTATTCAAGGAAAACGAGTATATGCAGAGCTTTAAAAAAACAGCATCGTCAATTTCTTTCGAAACCATGCTGAGGAATTCGCACCGTGCTAAAACGAAAGTTTGCGAGATAATTTTCATGACTCACGCCCCACTATGATGCAAAATTCAGGAATTTATATATATATAAGAAGCGAGAAAGTACCCAAGTTTCATTTGCTTTTGTGTTGAAACTTCGTTGAAACATTTATTCTTGTAGGAGGAGGACAGAACTTCTTGAAGGAAGTGCCCTTAAAATTTGAATATGAAAGGAATCGCTCACGGGTAAACTCCTTTATTTCTTCTGCCGGGTCAAATCAATATAATCACGAATAAAATCGAGCGTATGAATTTAAGGCATGGAATAACTTTCATTTCTTTCATTTATATGTTTTTACGAGGGTAGTGATCTCGAACAAAAAAGTTTGGAATTTTATGTGCAGTAATAATTTTTTTTTTTTTCCAACAAATATTTTGTGCAGATTCTTTTGGCGATTGGCGGATGGGCATTCGGTTCAAAGCCCTTCAAGGAGCTTACGGAAAATGTTTTCCGCATGAACACCTTTGTTTACGATTCTCTGGAATTCCTCAGGGAATATCAATTTGACGGTTTGGACATCGACTGGGAATATCCGAGGTAATGACACTAATGATTTTCAGGAAAATTAACATTTTCTTTGCGGCACCACCTTTTGTCAATTTAAATTTCTTTTGAGTTAGATTTTATTCTCGTCCAACTTCTGGCTTCAATTTTACATTTATTTGCATGAAGCTGTTTTTTTTCGAGTAGTGGGCACTGAGGCGGAAAAATCTAAGATCGAGAACTACTACATTCGGAAATCTTAAAAGTTTGAGAAAGTATCATTGAACCTTTCTGATATTTTTTGTTCAACACTATCTTATTATACCGCAATGTTTTACTGATCCATCGTTTCAACGTTTTGAAAATGTTCGGAAAATCTTCTTAACGAGAATAAGTCCGGGAACTGCTTTCGTTTTTCTATGCAAGTAAACCCCCTAATTTTATTTTTGAGTTTTCGTCAAGTAGAAATTAACCCTTTCCAAAAACTTACAATTAATGACATGCAATTATCTCTCAGTTATAATCATTCCATCTTTAGTATTTGGAAGTGGATATTCAATCGGAAGATCTTATCTTAAGAAAAGAGGATCTTTCGTTTATTACACCGATTATTCAGCGCACAGGAAGCTCATTATAAATAGGATATGTTAAATAGGACCCCAATAATATCCAGATAATGTCGAAATATACGAAAACCTCCGGACATCCGAAAGTTTCCTCAAATTCCGGACAGCGATTCAGCGAAAATGATCGATTTGAATAAGTTAAAAGGGGATTTTCTTTTCAAAAATCGTCCAAACAAATCCGAAGTGTGAAACCAATAATTATATGCACCAAGCCTTTCATGAAACGGTCTCAGCAGTTGGGAATCGCGGCATTAATTGTCAATAACCTTTTCAAGAATCAACTCATATTCATTGTTGGCTATCGTTCGCTGCCATTTTGTTTTTCAGAGGTGCAGAGGACAAGGCCAACTATGCCCGTCTGGTCAAAGAGCTGCGAATGGCTTTTGAGGGCGAGTCTGAGAGCTCGAACCAGCCCAGGTTGATCCTGTCCGCAGCTGTTCCTGCGTCTTTTGAAGCAGTAGCAGCGGGGTAAGAAATTGTCGAAAAACTGCTTCTCAATACCGTATTTCACGTCAATAAATACTGTATTCAGTTACATTCCTTTCAACAAAATGCCCGTATTTATTATACGCAACTAACACGCAAGCCGTTTTTCTGCAAAATCACGGCAGAAAAGCGGAGAGCGTTCGGTTTGCTGTTATATATTTTCTGAGTGAAAACAATTACGAAATTAGTGGTGCGAACAATAAGTCATTAACTGTTGATAAAAATATCGAAAGAGGAATTTATTTTGGTACCAATCCTATTAAAATCCTCTTCCATGGAATCTATGAATGAATGATGAATGAACACAAAGCTTTATTTTCTGATTTTCAGCATTCACAAAGTTCTATCAACATTCCCACATCCAAACCCTCTCCCCACACAACCCAAATCCATTCAAATCCATCCAATCCCTTTGGAGTATGAAACAGAGAAAGAATGTGTACATATGGATACCAAAATAAAAGAAAATACGCTCTACATTGTACAACTGCATAACTGAAGTGTATGCATACACCCCATTCTTTCCTTGGCATTGAAAACAAAATACAGTCAACCCCGTCTAATGGACTTGATTTGTGCAAGGGACAAGTCTGTTAGACAAAAAGTCCTTTACATGAATTCAATTACATAAAAAATTAAAAATTTCAATTTTCAGCACTAATTTTAAACAAAAAGAAGTCTGTTTGGTGGATTTTGTCCGTTGGGCAGGAGGAAAAGCTGCTTGCAGAGCTGGTCTGTTTGGTGAAAATCCCTTACACGGGAGGTCTGTTAGGCGGGGGGCCACTGTATATGCTTTTCCTACCAGCGCATGGATCTACAATATTTATAAATCATGGCAGCCTTTGTCTCAGATATTTAATTTTCTCTTCATCCAAATTGCAGTATGGTGAATTAATGCATTTGGTGCAAGGGAAGTATAGTGTGAGCGTGTCAGTATAATCATCTAACCAATAATTTCTCATAATCCACTGCAAATCCTTTTCAAGCGCAAGTCTGCATAGGTGGAAATCTTTATAAACAAGCATCATCTCAGTCTTCTTCATATGTCCCAACAGGCCAAGATCACTGCTTCCACCTCCACCAAAAAAAAAGGTCTGCGTTCAGTTGATAAGTATTGTTGATCATATTTCACAAAAATCACCATCTGTTTTGAGGTTAGGCATTTTCAAATATTTGAATTGATTTGGCCATGAAACACCGAAACATCAGTCTGAATATGATCACAACTTTGAGTTAAATATGACTTCTTTTCCTAGCTTTGAGAACCTGCAATTAGGGAACTTTACTTATTGAATGCATTAAGAGGGGAAACTTTGTTTTGTGCAACTGGTGGCTTTTGTTTCCTCCCCACAATTTTCATCACCTATGATGACTGGTGATTTTTATCAGCCACGTGCTGGGGCACAAAATTTAATTTACAAAATCAGAAATACAGAATTGTATCTCAAAAACTAAAGCGCAAGCAACATTTTACCAAAGTCAGATTTCGTAGAAAACTTCATGATCTAAATTTCGAGACATCACGGAAATTTTAATCTTAATTATTGAGCAAGTTATTCGTTTTGGAATTTTGAATCACAAATTATGCAATGTACAACAATTTATCTTTGAATTTTTCCTGGTTTCCAGGAATTGCTTTGTGTAGAAAAATCCTGTGAATGCTTTATGCTTATTGTGAGGATTATATAAGGTTTGTGTAACCTCAGAAAATATACAAGTCTAATTAATTACTTAATCAGAGATTGTTAATTTTCTTGAGTGCTAAACCATATCCATTATTATAAACCCCGCCCAATTCAATGATCAATAAGATCAAGTGACCAGATTATTTTCATACATTTTCTGAACTTTAATTCTTGTTGACTTTAGGGCTCTGACACATAAAGGTGTTGTTGAGTCTATCCCCAGAAAGCCTTCATGTGTGTGATGTACCTTGTGCCCTTCATCAAATTTGAGAGTTTGGGAAAGATTGCAAAGGGTCCTCTGATTACAGTGAATCAAGAATGAAGGGACGGAGTGCAATTGCAGCTGTGGACACAGAAAGGTGTGAAAGAGGCCCTGAATAAGGAGAGGGCAGAAATTGAATGTCAGCAAATGTGCTTAC